GTAAATTAATTAATTGAAATGTAATTCAAAATAATAAAAAAAGAACATAGAATGTATTTATACCAATGTACTTCCTAAAGAGACCATTTCTCTATTTTATTGAAAAAGTTAGTCAAACATCGAATGTAGTGTTAAATGAACATTTTCTTTGTGTCTCACTGAATCATCTACAAAGGTACGTTTTTCCGGATGATTGAAAAATAATTATATGGATGTACATCACGCAAAGTACAGTTGATTTACCGGATAGGACAACAAATACTGTCGCGTTACGCAACGGATGAACATATATGTAAGCCACGTTATTAATTTATTCAGGTTCAGTTCGTTAACGTGACGTGTGCAATCAATGCGCCCAACGCAATGCCCTCGAACGTATCCGCGTTAACATTAAAAATAAACGAACACTTTCGCTCTCCGCGCGACGTTCCATGTTCCACGTCGTTCGCGAACTTGATATTCGAACCGATTACTTTTCAATCGCGAAGAAGATAAAAATCGTTCGAAATTAATTTAGCAGCAGCTATTCTCTTCGCCGTTTTCCAGCGTCACCCAAAGGTGAAAGCCACCGGGCGATGAGAATAGGAGAGATCGCCGACAGAACGGAAGATTCGCAGAGAATTCGAGGAAGTACGAGCGGAAATCGGTCGATTAAAACGGGATCAAGTCCATCTCGAAATTGCGTTGCGTGCGTTTCCACGGTAGACCGCATTCCTTGAAAAAAGAAGCGTGAACGTTCAAAAGACGAGAAGACCTTTGGTCCTTTAATTACCAGTGGCATCGATTCTGTTGTTCAGCAACTGGTCACTGTTGAAAAACAGCTCGTCGACGAGCAATTAGGCGAACCGTCTATACAGCGATAATCGATAAGGAAACATTTCCATTCCATCGAACGATTCCGCTCCACCTCTGCGAATCGAACGTGTCCTCTGATCAAAACGAATGAACAGACAGATGGATATTCTCTCTCGCAATAAGAAAAGTTGTTCGTTTGATCTTTTCTCGAGTGCATTGGATCGAGTTGCGCTTCCGTTTCAAAAGACATGACAAAAAATTATCGAGGCATCGCGGAATAGGATTTGATGGTGTCGGTGGAAATGCGCGGTTTTATGAGAGAAACCGGAATGACCAACCTGTTACTTGAAAGCTGCGGAAGCTTCCGAGCGGGGAAGTGCGTGCGTTCTTTCAGGCGCGCTCTCGCCCTCAGCAGCCCCTCCGGAATGAATACACGTGCTCGGATACTCTACAAACGTACGTACCGCGTTAAACTACAACGATAAGTGTATGTCCGTCGATCGGTGTATTTATCTATTGGTTCTCTATTTCATCAATCAAAATACGTATCAACTGCGTGCGGCCGGACACATATGTTTACGCGCTGCTCAAGCTACGATTTCTACGCTCTCATGTACATGTTTGTGTATACGTATGTATGTACTTGTATATGTTGTATATATTATACGTAGTGTCCAGGTGTAATTAAAGTGCGTCTGTAATCGTGTTTTCGCGACCGGAAAAATGAACAACGCGGCACGTCTACGTCGAAAGGCGCGTAAAACGAAAACTAACAGTTTTACAGATAATAGAGGAACAAAAAATGTAGAATCACCGTAATATCCAGAACAACGATATCATCGCGCAGGCTGCCCGGCTTGCACTGCCCGGGTCTCCTGTTTCTCCCACCGAGCGCACCGACTCACCCCTCTGAATCCTCTCTCTCTCTCGGTTCTCCTGCGCTTCACCCTAAACCACCCTCTACATCCCCGTTTCACTAGCCCCTCTCCAGTCGCCGCGCCTGCCGAAAAAGCTCACCTATTCTGTATCCCACCTTTCGCCCGTTTTCATCCTCCTTTACCCTCTCCCTAATCCTATCCGCGATGATCGTCCTTTTCGCTCCTTCAATCCTTTTTATCCCAATTCCCTCGTGCTCACACGACTCCACAGCCGCGACTTCGACTCGCGCCACACTGCGCCACACTCTCTAAACCGAACTCTCTGAAACGCGATGCCTTTCCCTCGTCTTTCCCATCTCCGTCAGCCCCTTTCGTCCTTTCCATTCGCGCTCGCATCCCACCGCGAGCACCAGCTCAAGGCGCAAGCTCGTCGAAACTCGTCCTTTCTCTCCGAGCTAGGAGAAGGGAAAAGACTATCGGGCGACCGCCAGCACCAGCAGAAATATCCTCGGAAGGACCCGAGGGAACCGACGGGACGCGGGTTTTCACGCACGTGGACGAAACCCCAGGGAGTTTGAGGAGAATTCACGTTCTTCACGGAAGGGGATCGCGGTTCCAAGGAGTACTTCGAAACTTTCTTTCACCGTGCCGAATCAATAGAATTAGAGGAGCAACACGATTCTATGGCTACTCTTAGTGATTATGAGGATTGTTTCTCCTCAAAATATATGAACGGATCGACGAAGAAATATATTTTTGAGCTCAGATTTTTCATGGATACAAAAAAGAAAACTTTATTGATAAATTGAACGATACTTTTTAACAGGAAAATATAAGCAGTAAATTGTAAAACGTAATGGTTGTTAGAAAAGCGAATATAAGTAAAAAAAATGGTATTGACAAAAATTCATTTGTATCATTGAAATATAAAGTCTGATAGAATAGTGATACAAATGAAAATTTTCAGTTATTTTTCGTTTTTCACAATTTTTGTAACTATCAGTATAGATCAGAATTAGAAATTTGTTATTCCTGCGTATTACGTAACTTAATTCTAATACATGAAAATCTGTAGAACATGAGAAAGAGAATTAAACGAAAACAAATCCCGTCGTTTCCAGATGCTGTATTGTTATTCTAGTTAGTGCATATTGTTATTTGATAATTTACTTCTGCGATCCTTCAATTGCGGGTCCAGGAGAGATGGACGGGACGTGGATCAGAGATAGAACAGGAGACAAAGGATTGGATTTAAGAGGTCGATTGTGTGGAAAATTCCAAGAGCGAAATTGGGTGAAGGTAACGTGAAAAACGACGCAGGAAATGGGATTTTCAGTAGCGATAGCTGCAGTTGTTTGCCGAAAACAAAAACTCCCGACTGTATTATACAGGAAAGTCATAAGTTACACGCTCTGTAAACTGATGTATGTCATATACAAGGAAAAGTCGCTGCAGTTTTTCCTTTGCGAAATATTAATCAACTTTATGTAAATAGTTAGCCTCCGCGATGGTTCTTCATGGAAAATATTGAATACATACAAGCGATATTTCGTTTCCACTGGATTTCAATTTTACCCTTTTTTTTAATTTTGAATATGTTGCAAGCGTTTCACCAAAGAATCGAGGAATTATCGACGTTCTGTGACGCGGTACATAAATACAGTCAAATGTTTCAATTTGCTACATCAGACCAGTGATCTGCACAATTACTCTCTCTCTCTCTCTCTCTCTCTCTCTCTTTTTGCTCAATTCAGCGAACAGAAAGTTTCGTCACAGAAAAATATATCATGAAGTTCGGATCAATGTATTATAAGATTTTTGAGTTGATTGAAGAGAGAATGTATTAGTTTTCGAATATACGTGTTGAACTTTAATTTATCGAGAAATATATTTTTAAAGTAGAGAGATAATCAAATCGATCTTCAATTCAGACCTGAATACATGCTACTCACTCCAAGATTTGACTGTTGCTCTACTTTAAAATTATACTACTCGATAATTTAAAGCTCAACACGTACATTCGAAAACTAATACGATTTCTCTTCAATCAATTCAAGAGTCTTATAATACATGGAATGACCAGTAGACTGATTATCTGTAGACGTCAGTCAATTCTCGGTGTTCAATGATCAATATTCAATTATAATTATCAGTGGCAAATTGATTAGTAGTTGGTGGTCAATGATCCAGTGTTGGTGCGACGGACACTGTAAGCATGTCTAGGGCTGCGGTCTAATCTAAGTAAATAGTGAGAATTGAAGCATAGTGCATCTGCACACTTGCAACAAGAAACATGCAAATCACACAAATTGCAAATTATTGCAAATTATGATCGATAAATAATTGAAGTATCACAGTTACGAAGATAAGCCGATGAATGTTCACTATTAATCATTCTATCTTCAGAATCACGAAATACCTGAACTTTAGAACATAGACAAATGATTTTCAGGCATATTTATACAAATAGGATTGAGGAACGCATTCGGAACGAAATCAACGACGTATAATTATAATAATCAGTAAACTAACGATTTCATTTAGGACTAAAGAGATCGCAATAAATGCTCAAACTTTATGTATATACATGGTATCCCAGGAAATTGTTAGAGCCGAAAAGCTATGGTTCTGGAGATGTTCCTGAACAACAATTTCTTTCGGTAAATTGCAAAGTGAGTCGTGGTTTTTAAATTATTAACGAAAAACATTGACTAATGAGAGCACGCGTAGGGCCCATACACAGCCACGGGTCCTACACGTACTCTTATTAGTCAGTGTTTCAAACAAATGAATTTTTCATTAACAATTTAATACACTAAAATAATATTTACAGAGATATTACGGTTCTAATCTATTAAAACTGTAGGGCGAATATTTTGGAAACTGGCCAAATCCGACTAAATTGAAATTTTGCAGAAAGTTTCATTTTGTATTAAAAAAAGGATTTTGGTAATTCAAGAAAAATGTGAAAAATGTAGTTTTACTATGTTAGGGTCATTTCCGTCGCTATCGACGACACATCCAATTGCGAATTATCTAGTGTCGATAAATTATTTTCAATCTCACGTCGGTAGCACCAACTTGAAGTAGCAGGGTTCCACCGACAAGCCGCGCGTGAGGCGTGAGCGTGAGTGCGTGAGCATTCTTCAGCATTCTCATTTTCTTGGATTTTCTCTTTTTGCAATCAGTGTTAGCAGAATGTTATTGTAATAATGAATGAATTTTACAAGACGAAATTTTTTCGGCGTTTTCTGCCATTTATAATACTAGTAGTAGGAGGTTCGTTTTTCATTCAAGAATTCGCGAAACTGAGGTATTTATTTATTCTATCTCTGCTATGCTATGCTAATAAAATATTTCACTTGAAACTTTTAAACATTATAATACAATATTCTCAGATATAAATATAGAAAAGTACAGTCAGTTGATTTGAAGACAGAGGCGAAAAAACGTGGCATACAAGTGGAGAAATCCCGTACTCTGGAGGAAGAATATGAAAAAATAAAGGTATTTAATCCAAAATTCATTGCGTAGTATAAATGAGACATGTTAAAATATTAATTTTATTACTGTGACGATTGCACTAATAATAGATTTCCAAATATAAGAAAGAACAAGAGTATTAAAGATTTACTAATATTTAATGAAACATTCATTTTTCCATACCCTCACATACTAATGTAGCATTTCATATTTCATTATCCATCGATCTTACATTCGTATAAAATCTGAACTTATTTCTATGAAACCCAACGTAAAACAAACCTGAAATTACCTAAATACTACTAACTATTTACTAACCCACAACTAAACATAAAATGAATACAAAATAAAACGTGTACTTCATCTTCCTTTGATATACAATCACTTTTTAACGTATCAGTCCTGTAAGAACAGATATTAGTTCGTGTCATAGAACGAGAATAATCATTTTTCATTAAATTTATGCTTTCAGAAAGTGGACATTAATAATTGGGAAAATGTTCGAATACCACGTCCATGGGAGGAGCCTAGCAGTACAAGCAAATAGGAGTACCATACAAAGAATCCTGTACATAGATAACATGTTTCAAACATTTTTGTACATTTTCTTTATTATAATTTAAACAGAGATGATCTCTATACATTTTTCTCATATATCAAAATACGAATAATAATTTCAGTTAGTCTTTCATTGCTTATCTTCAAATTATTTCATAAACAAATGTGTAAATATCATGGAATCTTCTCTAAATCTATTAGCATATTGAAGTAACTCATTTAGTGTTTTAATGATTCAGTGTACCTGTACAATAGTATAAAGTAATAAAGCTAACGAGCATACAAGCAACTAAATACGCCCGTCGTTGTCATTCAAAAATGATGGATTGTCATATATATTATGTGTTGATCTTCGACTACTGTCTGCACTGTTAGATGCATTATTCTCAGATCCTAGTTTATCGTTTTCTGCCAAAATAGTCAAACGCCGTTTTTCCAAAGCTTCCATTATACCTTGTGGCATAGTTGAAGATATTCTTTTAGAGAGACCTGAAACAACATATATTTAATACAGAAAAATACATAAATACATGTACCTGAAAAATGTCTAAATAGACGTATAAAGAAAAATACCAGATGTGTCAGGTTCCCTTAAAGTTTTATTAAAAAGTACTTCGAAATTGGAGGACAACTTTGGAGTGCTTTTATTAGTTTCTATTAATTCTCTGACAGTTTTTCGTTTTCCTGAATTAAATCGTTCCTTGTTCATTAAATTAAATGTCTGAGTTTCTGTTATGTGCTGAAGACCTTCAGCTATATTCTTTGCATGTGTGCTAGTAATTGAATCGCTTGATAGAGGATCCTCCTAAAAGATAAAGAAAAGAATATTACGAAATGTAATTTAAATTATTTAGTTATACTCATTTTGTTTATCATCACCTTGTTGAAACAGGGGAATTTTAATTTCGCATTAGCGATTATATGAGTGAACGTTTTGAATCTATGGCTGAACATAGCTAAAAATTGTATAAACAATATGAAAACGAATGCCACGATGAAGAGACATCCAATCGGTTCCAAATGCATATATTTTCTGAGCACGTGTACCTAAAAGATGCAACTTGTACTGAAATTAATACGTATTAAAAGTCGTTTATAATTCTACCGTTTCAATTCAAAGGAGCATATCTACAATTTTCACGTGTATCAAGATAGTAACGCGAAGCACAAAACTCTCTGAGATACACTTATTTAAATTAACACGGTATATCGTATTGAAAATGAAAGACCTACTTCGTACTCTTCGGGATAAGTGATATTATATTCAACAGCAAATGGCCATTGAACATATAGAACGTCTTTGTTTATTTGCAGTAAGAATATTCCTACTATAAACATTATGTTTATCATAAAGAATTTCAATAGACATTCGTCACGTATCTTTATTAAACCTCTCGCGATCTTTTGCTGCAATAAAATTATTAATGTTTCCATTAAAGCATTATCAAATACTTTAATTTTGTTAATTCATCCTTTTTAAAAACGTACCTGCTTCTCCGCGTCAATTTCTATAGGATGCAAATATTTTTTAATCAATTGATTCCAAAATTCTTCCTCGGCGTACGGAAGGAAATCTACCTTCCCGTTTCTTAAACGATCGTCTTGAAGCCAATGTAGATTTACTAAAAAGTTCGTACCTTCTAAACGATCGCAGGGATATACATGATCAGATATTTCCGTTTCTGTATCTGTACTCGTATCCGAGTCTTCGGTAATTTGTAATTTTAGTTTGTCGCTATATGTTTTACTTTGTTCTCTATTGCCGTCACTCGTCACGACATCAAATTGACTGAAAATTGTAAAATTTCAATTTCAATTCGCCATAATATTTTTAATCTAATGCAATACCTCTCTATCTGTTTTAAACGAAGATTTATTTCGTTTATAGAATTATTAATATATTCTAAATATTCCACTTTTTTGTTATGGCTGGGCTTACAAATGTTGCATTTAAATAGATCAGAGAAAGAAGGTTTTGTCCACATATTTTCAGTGGTTTCATCTTGTGCAGATTGATTAGCAACTCCTTGGTTTGATATCTAAAGGGATTGAATGCATTAGCAATGTAATAGATAAGAATACGATGATCTCTTTCAGAATCTTAATACCTGTCTTTGCGATTTCGATTCTCTGGTTCCCCACGTAATATTATGTAGATTGAAGATAGAGAAAATAATCAGCAACATGTACATTGATGGCACAGTGAGATAATAAATAATTGCGTTAGGTAGACACGATAATTCTTGAGGATGCATGAAACCTGTCAGCGTGAACTGACCAATTACAATAAAAAATAGAAGAGTGTTGGGGGAGAAATACCCATCCGACGCTATTTGAAGCAGTATTCCAACTAATACGACCAACATTACCGTACCATACATGACAGTAATTACTTCAGCTGCTATAAGCTACAGAAAATTTAATTCAGTCAAATAATTCGTTTTTGGAACTAGTCCAAAAGTGTAAATAATTACCTGCATGCGCACTTTGCAGAAAAAGCAAATGAAAATAAAAACGATGATTGGAATTGCATTGTAAAAGAAGCTCAGCCAGTTATCTAACTGGAACGAAGTAACAAATGCTCCGACCATCATCAGATAAATGAAAGATGGTCCAATAATTGCGCTACCTTTAAAGTTTATAGATATCTACATGAATATATGTCTGAAGATTAATATTTTACTGTTGCAAGAAAATTACCAGTTAAAATCCACTGATAAGCTATGTAGAGCCACGAGATATCATCGTTTAATTTCCTAGTCTGGCTTGAACTACTTAATAGATCAAAAACATTAGCCATGGTCGACGGAATCCATCGTCTACGTTGAATATAAAACTCCTTGAATGATTCTGGAGCATGTGTATATGCATCGCTGGCGGCGCAATACTCTACCTTGTTGAATAAAAGGAATAAAAATATTTCTCAAGGATTAATTCCCCTGATCATACTCTAACAATAAGTGTAATGTGAAATTCACCTACCTTGCAACCAGCTTGCAGAATTAATGTACAAAGCCATCGATCTTCCCCTTGGTCGTACTGAATATAATGTTTGGGTTCAGTTGACCTGGTCGCGTATTTAGCTATGATATTATGCTGCATCAACACTTTCGCCCTGAAAAGCGAGAAACAGCCCGGACTGCAGAGAACCGAGCCTATCGTGTGTTCCGTAGACTTTTGAAGCCAATGTCCAACGGCGTATTCAAATTTTTGGAACCAAATCATAGGACCTGCACGTGAGATTGTATTTTTAAATTAAGGTTGTACACAGGTTGAATACAGGCTCGCAAAATTTATCAAATTTTGTACAGTGTTTTATTAATGTAATATCTAGTAACTGTTAAAATTTGAATGCTTTGGCATTGTTTTCTTTTGTAAGGGTTCATACAATCTTAAGCTTTGAAATTAGAAAAATCAAAGATATTATTATACGTATATGTCTGTAAAAGTGGCGAATAATACCTTTCCCTAAAGGATGTATTCTCCCGCAAGCTGCGCCCAATTCTTTATTCTTCTTCATTAAGTCTACTAATGCCTTGACAGCTGCAGGCTGAAAATCGACGTCTCCGTCTAACGTTAAAATGTAAGTATTCTGTGCTATTAATTCTTTGGTATCGACGTCTATCAAAGTTGAGCCCATCAAGCGATAGCCAAGAAGATAATACATGTACATGACCTGAAATAATTCAATAATCAATATAGAATAGAAAACAAGCGTCCCAAGATGAACCTATATATTTTTAAATCAGATTTCTGATATGCACCTGACTCCATCGTTTCCTGTGTCTGATTTTGTTTTTATCTTTGAGGTGTACAGTTAGACGCGTCTTTCCGGGTAAATTCCAGATTAGTTGACCACCGTAGGGTGTTGGACATTTAACTGGTGGTAAATCGAGTATGCCAAGGTTTCTTATGCGCTCCTGCATTAATTCTACAAACGTAGCCACATAATTGTTCACCTGCGTTTCGTTTTCATGATGCTCGCACGGTCCAACGCAGTCGTGTATGCAACAAAATGCATCGTCGAATATCACATGCGCTGAAACATTTTAATCCTCTGTTAAGAATTTTAATTAAAATATTAACGATTAAACGACTTTAGTGATAAACGTCAATTACTTTCAAGTTCATAATAATTTTTGATACATATATTATAATACTTCTGTGTAACTTTCATTGCACACTGATCTCTATCTAATCTCAGAATGCTTCCAATTAACTCGCTCATTTCTTCTTTATTTTCGTGCCACATAGTCGCGCAAGCATAGATTTGAGTGACGCAAGTATTCGGTTTTTCATTTGTCGAGGTCCTAGAAAGTGTCGAAGGAATCATCTGAAATAAGAATTTTGTTTGGATTACTAAACATGAAGTAATTAGTAATAATTATTTAAAAAGAAAAGGATATTTATTTAAAGTAAGACCTCAAATTCACTGATAGAATCTTCTTCTTTTTCTTCGTCTTCTTCTTCTTCGTCCTCTTTCTTAACAGTATGAGAATCGTCATGTTTTCTTTTATTTAATCCCAGAAACTGATCGACGAAAAAAGCGTCGTAGCTTGGATTGTGGAAAATCCTCTCTACTGGAGCAAGCTTAGCATGTTCACCGAGCCAAACTTGTCGCGTGATCCAAACTTGTGACAACCATAGACTTAGCCAGCACCAAATACGCCAATTCAAAAGGAATTCTGTTATACTATTAAATTTTGGTGCATTTAAAAATAAGTAATCTGGTATTAAACCATGCAAGGCGCACGGATCATTTTCCCTTGCAATACAAAACATCAGAATTATAATCACTGTTCCTGGTGTAATTAAAGTCAATGGAAGGGCGAAGCCGAATTTGTGCATTCCTGTTTGATACGCGAATTTTGCTGTAAAAATATTAAACAGTTTTGAATTAAAGTACAAAATATACGATTTACATATCAAATCCTTGTTACTATAATCTCAATAAAATTTGTCTCACCTGCTTTGTATATGAAAAAAGCACAAAATGCTTGCATTAAAAAACTGTTCAATGGTACAGACTTATCGCTAAAAGCAATTAAAACATTCACGTTCGTTCGAGAAGAAGACATTTTGATTACTTCAACTGTGTATCTATTATCATATATAAATCCGAAAAATTCGTTTATTCGAATCCCCTCAAAAGTCGAGATCACGACAGCGCTTGAAATAAAAATTAAACATCTCCATAATGCCATGTACCCTCTAAACACGTGCCAATTATCTGTCTTACTCTTTGCCAGAAAATTTAAGGAACCTATTAAATTACAGAGAAAATATCGTCATATATTTAAAACAAGAAAATAATAGATTTAAAATTATAAGAAAAAATTTTACCATAATAACTAGAACAAGGCACGTAATTACACCACCAACGGCAAGAAGACAATACAAGCGCTATAAAAAGAACCCATCCCTGAAAATCTTGAGGATTATGTATGAAACATAATAAAATCACGCCAGTGCCTTGAGCAATTAATGCTAAGAAATTGATTATTAGTATCAATAAAAACATGTTCGATGTATTTTTCCTATTTTGTGCAAGCAGATCTGTAATGATAATATTCTTATTTTATCTGATGGCCCTTTATAAATTAATGTATGATAAATAAATGTAATAATATATAATAAACGAATGTATTATATGCACTTACTCAATAATGAAGGAATAACACAAATGCAACTAAAAATTACTGCTGCATCTACAGAATTGAGCTTCGGCAGCTCGTAGAATATTAATAACGCTACACCTACGGGATGCAGTATTTCCAAAACCAAAGAAACAGCGATACTTCGTCTTCCTGGTAATTTTACTTTCTTCTTGAAAAGGAAATACCATATCGCTCGAAATATAGTGAAGCACTCGGGTATAAGGAACATAAAGATGATGTACCACGTCCAGACTATTTTAGCCTTTTTCGAAATTCTTGCTTGCAAATTTTCATTTTTTCCTGTGACGTTAAATGTTATGTATATTATTTTTATCTACATATTAAAGCTTTTTTTGATAGTTTAAGAATTACCTGAATCATAATTACAAAACTGTACGGTTGCTTCATCCTTAAGTTGCGACACAGCGAATAGTACTACGAATTTAGCGATTAAACCAGTGCAGAGGACAGAACAGAAAAGAAAGACATATACAAATGCTTTAATAACGCGAATGGAAACATTTAACCATTTTTTGTCCTGCATAGACGCGCTTTGTTTTGTCAGGGGATAATATTTAAATGCATCCCAGGATTCTCTCGACATCCTAAATTGAAGTAAGTATAATATAATATTTGTATTCGATTTTCATTCAAACGTTTGTATTTTTTTATTATTTTGTACAAAAATTCAACGTAAGTAAAAATAAGATAATTAAACTCTCTTACGAATTCTGCGACGTATCTCCGATTTCGAATACATTATCCAGATTTCGAATGTCCACGAATGAAGAGTTTAAATTAGCTTCTGATTTTGACATGTTGGAAGATGAAAATGCTACTGATAAATTTAGTTATTTCTATGCCACGAATTACCGAAATTTTCATCGGTACGTATCAGTTGTGTATTGATAAAATTGATAAGGTTTGGAATTTGGGAAAAATGTGGGAGTTAAAATTATCTATGATCTAGAACGACTAGGGAACTCAATAAATGTACAGCATAAGGGATATCATATTTCCTTTATTTCACTCGAAAATATTCGTACAAGAAAATTCATCTCGATCGAAGGTTTATTCAGTGCGGTACATTAGAGGAAAGCCAATAATTAGACAATATTAATAAGTGATGATATTCACTTACTTTCATTTAAAACAATCTCTTTTGGGTATAAAATTGCTTATAAACAAGGCCATTGTAACTACGATTTTTCTACTACTTTGTAACGTTCATATTATTAAATATCAGCATGACCAGATTTAACTTTCCTTTGTCGTAAGAGGTATGTGATGACCCAAAAACCTCCTCATATAAAGACGAATTCTTTTGTGGTTAACATTGACATTCTATTTTATCGCGTCGCTATCGAAGTTTATCTCCTTAAAAGTTAAAGATATTATATAAAGCATTAAATAAAGTAATTATATCGTTGGAATATACATAGCAGCATGAATAAGTATCAACCAGTTAAATGATATAAAGAAAAGA